TTTTTCGTATTTAATGGCCCTAAACTTTCTCCTGGTGAAAGTGATTTGTGACTCATATTTAATAAAGATCTTGTTGACGATCTTAAGAAAGTTTTTTTTTCTCTTTTATTGCTCTGCTGTGGATTTTTCTCAATGAATCTTAATTTTTTGTACATCTTTCGCACTGCCCAATTTTATTTATTTACATTTAAGCTCATGTTCGCTGGTTTACAAAGCCAACTTCCCATGTTCCCACGAATAAACAATGATATGCAATTATTCGTGTCTAACAATGACCAGACATTATTGGGTAAAACACTATATAGGGTGGTGTTTACAAGTTTTCGTAGAAAAGAAATACAAAACACAAGTTGTGCAAACTATACATTTTACTAAATACCTCAATGATATACTATTTCGGCTTATAAACTAAACCTTTAAATTCTTAATCTCGTAATCATAATCCAAAAGGTCTTATGGTTTTTTCCTTGATCAATATCAAGGAGCTATGACCATATCGTAATGGCATTTTCCGCAAATGTAGGATCTTGTTATCATTGACGTCACGGCTTGGTGGCCTTGATCATTTAACTACGTCATTGCGGGTGAGTCTAGGCCAACTAATGAGCTTTGTTCCCCGGGTTGGGACCCCTCTCTCTCTTCCAGGTGATAATTTTGTGTCTGGGTACACCCAGAAAAAATCCCCTCATTCTGGAGTTTTAATAACTGATAATCATACTTTCAAATTAAACTAATTTTATAATATAATCAAGTTTTGACATGAAATGCAGACTATATCAGTTGGAAATTAAAGCTAAGGTTAAGTTTTTTTGGGTTTTAAAATATTTCATTTGATTTTCAAATATTATAAAGATGTGTTCTTTAGACAGGGTTGCCACTTGAACTCAAATTTTTTTTTATCAAAGGCAGATGATATGAAAAACTAAAATGTATACCTCTTCATAGTTGTTTTTTTTATCAGTATGAGCTATTCTTTTTTTGGATTAAAAATATTTTATTGGATTTTCAAATATTATAAAGATGTATTTTTTAGGAGGGATGCCACTTGAACTCGAATTTCTGTTTCCCAAGGCAGATGATATGCACAACTAAAATGTATACCCCTTGATAGTTTTTGATAGTTGTTTTTTTTATCAGTGTTGACTATTCTTTTTTTCTGTGTGTATGACAGCCCCAAATCTGCGTTATCAGTCTGAGTTCTCGGATTTGGAAATGCATTTCGATTTGATTTTTGGTAGGACTCCCGACTCAGAGAGCTGATGTTGCTGTTGCTGCCGTGTTGCTCCCGTGTTGCTGTTGCTGCTGTGCTGTTGCTGCTGTGCTGTTGCTGCCGTGCTGTTGCTGCCGTGCTGTTGCTGCTGCTGCTGCTGCTGCTGCTGCTCATCGCCCGCGGAGCTCTCAGCGAGTTCGGTTCGGTTGGGCTCGTTTGGGTTCAGTTTTTTAGAGCAGAGTCGACCAGTTGAGCTTTTGCTGCGATCGCGTGCGGCTGGCTCGGGGTCTCGTCTCTGGGTTTTTGTCATTGTTATTGTTATTGCTATTGGCAGTGCTATTGCCCGTATCGTATCGCCGACTTTCCGCGTGTGCTTCCACATATCTCTCGCCGCCTCTATATGTATATATATATCTCTATATGTTTGTGTTTTCACCGCGGCTCTGAGCGTCCCTCTCTGTGTGTCAAGCCAATGCCAGAGACCGCGTCAAACGGCCCACCAAAAAACCAAAAAAAAATTTAATAATTAATAATAAACAGCAACAGCGACACAACACAAACCAGCAGCCGCACATTTAACCAGAGCCGTATTCCAAAATTTATTATAATTTTTTGCCAGTTTTTTTTTTTTAAATAAATTTATTTTGATTGGCATGTGCGTGTGGTTTTCGTATTATGTATTTTCACTTTTTATTAAACAAAAGGGCAACAGGAAGAAAGCTGGAAAAATTCCACCAAATTTATAATTGTTCTTAATCAACAGTTAATTGCTGTATGTGTGTATGTGTTCTTTAAACTTTTTATTTTAGAACTAAAATCTAAAGGATCTACGCTTTCAAACTAATGTTTCTTGAAATGAGTTCGTTATTTCATTAGAAACGTTTCAATTTCTTTGATTAAAATTATTTTGAAATACTCACATATAACTGTGAATACCCTATGCCTATAATAGTATACAAAATCTAAAAGAAGATAGCACAAATGATTGCGCAAGAATTATAATCATTCTTAATTGAACGCTAACTGCTATATTGCGTGTTTTTTTTTTGTAATTAGAACAATCCTGTATCTTTTTAATATTTATAATCATTATTTTAAGCCCAATAGCAATCAGATTTAAAAATTATAATTAAATAAAAAATAACAAGTAATTGCTAAGCAGTAATTCTTAAAATATAGTCTTTTATTTTTTACGAATACATCATTTCCGTATTTGAGATCCAAGTGTTTACTTACTGTTTTCAATAAAATTATCAATATTTTAAAAGGCTTTTTTCAAAATAAAAGTTAAAATCTCAAATCGTTTAAAAACAACAATATATATAACTAATAATATATATGTACAATAAATATTGCTTTGAAGGATATGCAAACATAAAATCGAAATAACATCGAATTAAATACTTTCTGGCGTCTTTATTTTTAATCAAAATAAATTACTTGAGTCTGCGTGTGTTCTTTTTTTACTGTGTTTTTTATTTGTAAGTTAATTAAACAATTCAAAAGAATCAAGTGGCAAGTTGGGGAATCTGCAATGTGTTGCTGCTGTTGATGTTGCTGCTGTTTCGTGTTGCTGCTGTCGTTGTAAAGTGTGTTAATTGAAGCACGCGCCAAAAAGCCCCCAAAGAGAAGAGTGAGACAGAGACAGCAAGAGTCGGAGCGAAAGAGAGGGGAGAGGGCGTGAGAGGGAGACGGAAGACAGAACTCTTATACTAGATGACTGAAATAGCGAACTGACTTTTGAACCGAAAATTCGAGTATTCAGGTTTATGTAAACATTTACACACTATATAAACGACGACGTCAATGGGAACGCCCTCCCCTTCCCGCCAGACACCCCGCCCAAATAAACCCCGTCCAAAATTGAGTGCTACGCAATTTGGAAGCAACAACCACCCACCCACCCAACAACCCCAACCCAAAAAAAATTTAATGTGAATTATATAATTGAAGAGCAACAGCACCTTCACAAATCGTGTTCATTTGCGTACGAACAGCGAATTCGGCAATTGAAGCTCATTAAGTAGCCGAAAATGGAACTAAATCACCCCTCCCCCGCCGCCTTAATTGGTGCTTGATCGTTTCAATAACATCCGCCCAACCACCCACATTCACAGCCCCACTCACATTTCGAGGCCCAAAACCGCATCCGAATCCAAAACCGAATCCTAAAACCAAAACCAAAATCCATTCTGTGCGTCAATGGCACACTGAAAAAAAAACCCTTTAGAAGATCCATAAAAAATCCCTCATTTTGTAGATTGTATAGCTATCACTCTCAAAGAACCGATTATAAAATTTAATTGGGCAGAACCACTTAGTAAAACGAATGGATTCATTTTAAAGTGCAGTTTTTGATTTGTTTTGAACCACTTATTAAGATAATTCTGAAATATTGTAAAAATATTCTATTTACTTCTGAATATCTTATATTATTACCATCTTATATGGATTTGTGATAACTTCCAGCCTGATAGCTATAAGTTAAATACCTTTTTTCATTTCTCCCATATGCTGATAGTATAATATCGAAATACTTTTATAGCATTCAAAATAAAAAACTGAAAAAATACTTTTTTATTCAATCAGATCCTTTTAACACCAATTCATAACTATTCCAATAATCCATTTAAATAATCGTTTAAAATGAGTCAACTTAATTACCTGACTGAATGATCAGCTTTTTTTTAATGTTAGATCTTAAAGATATCTTATCTTCGAAACTTTTTAACAATAGTTCCAATTAAAAAATTTAAAAGAATTTTCTCTACTCTTTATCGTAATTAACTTCTTCCAATTAAAAAAAAAATACATTTAAGTTAAAATTTAAAAAGCTTCCAAAACAATTTACAGTGTATAAATAGAAGAAGAGAAACAGAGACTCACACTCAGAGAAAGGGAAACAGCACAGAGGTGATTAAGAGCGGAGAGGGAGGTTGACAACAAATTGTTTACTTTATTAATTTTAAGCTTTTGGTAGTTAAAAAAAAAGTGAAGAAATACTGAGAGAAATTGTTATGCGAATGTGAATGGGGCGCATTAAGCGCGTAGTGTCCATTTTTGAGTGTGGGTGGTGCTGTTAATTTGAGCGGGGAATGCGGGGAATGCGGGGAATACGGGGCCTCCGGGGGATGGCAGCCAAGTGGGGGTGGCGATTGCAGGCATTACGTACCCCCCACTACACACACCCAAACACACGATCTAATGTATCTACATATATGCACAGTACATAGCGCGATATATCGAGTCGTTATCGTCGACGTCGGTCTCTGGGTTTTTGTTGTTTTTGCTGGTGTTGACGGCATCGAAGATTGTACAATTGTTTTTATTAGATAACGAGCAAATTTGTACTTAAGGATGGATCGCAATCCGAAACCAAGCCCAGCTAGATGGAAATATATTGAAATGATATAACAAGATAAGAGAAGGAATGGAATATTTTAGATATATCAAAAAATGTGGAATGCACTAATTGAAAGGATCTATAAGGATTAAGCTTTCCAACTTTGGTAGCTAACTGAATTGTAGATCATTTGGGTATTTATTAAATGCTATTAATATACACCAGTAGAAAGTAGCACTCAATAATGAAATATCACACATACGTAGTTTATGGCGGATCTATTAATAAAAAAAAACAAATAAAGAAGAGTAGGTATTCGGTCAAAATTATATGAAGAAGTTTGAGCTATAAAAAAGTTAAAGTATACATCGATTATAATCAGTAAAAATGTTTTTATAAATCATATATATCATTATATATTATTTATTTATTAAAAATCTCACTAACCTTCTTCTAGTAAGAGTTAACGTTTAAAGACTTATATACAGCTAGATAGCCCTCGACATAAACTTACCTTTGAAGCCTTTCCATAACTGTAGTTAGACTTAGATCTCTTAAGTATTTAGTCTAACATCAGTAAGTAGAGCCCTTAACTGGAAGATCTTAGTACTTCAATACTTGGAGCTCTTCATAGACAAATATAAACTTAACGTAGAACTTTAAACTGTCTTAAAATATTAAGAACATTTGAAAACATGCAATCAGCACTTCGACTTAAACTTTAATTTGATGAGATAACCTTTCCGATAAGAACTTTTGCATCTACTTGATAATCTGATACCCAGATAATTATCATAAATTATTAACCCAAGGAAAAATACCTTTCAATGAAGTGATAGAAACAACGTTTTCCACTAAATCAATGGGACCTGTGAATGTTCTGGAAGAGCTGATACCTATAGGCGAAACCCTTGTCCTACTTACATGCACTTAGTACTCAAGCCCTTGCAATGCCAACCCTTGACTTGAATCGGAATTAGATAAGCCAAATATATATAGTAGGCAACCGCTAAGTGGAACGTTACAGACTAAGATCTATTGATATGGGGAGTACCAAAGTTCTCCAGACAGCAGAACCACAAGGTTGTTGCTGTTGTTGATGTTGATGTTGCTGTTGCTCGTGTTGCTCATGTTGCTGTTGGTGTTGCTTTCGGCCGGTGTTGCTGTTGCTGTTGTTGCTTCGTTATCGCCTCGCGGCGACGGCGTCAACATTTGCAAATGACGTCAAATGTTATAAAGAAATTTCAGTTCGTATATATGGCCGGAGATACATATGTATGTACATATGTATATATACCTACAGACTTGTACCCAAGTGTGTTGTACATATGTATATTCGGTATTGTTGCTGTTGTGCACTGGCGTAACTGGATAGCCGCGTCGCTGGCATTTCCATTATTATCATAATGTGCTGTTCGATTTGGGTTTCGGATTGGATTGGATTGCCTTGCCCGACTCTGGGCGGTTTCGCTTGTGGTCGCCGGTTAGTGGTTGCTAGTTGCTGGTTGGTGTTGCTAGTTGCTGATTGCTGATTGCTAGTCACTGGTGTTGCTGGTTGCCTGTTGCCAGTTTCCCCATTTTGCCAGCTTTTAGCTTTGGATGCCGCAGATGGAGCTGCCAAGATGCCAACACGCTCCGACAATGCCTACTTAGTATCGTCTGTCTTTACTTTTTGCGGACCGTGTTACATGGCACATACATATGTATGTATTAAATTTAATCAATTTTGATTGATGTGTGCGCATTACAGCAGCAGCAGCAGCAGCAGCAGCAGCAACAACAGCAACAGCAACAAACACCTCTGTAGACCCAAAAGTCAAAGACCCAGCTGCAACGAAGCGATAATACCCTGATTTGGAAGGGATTGATTAGCTTAGCTTACCAAGTCGCTAAAGTAAATGGTATTTCCCCTGAAGAGTTCTTAAAAAAACTTGGTCATTACTAAGTGACTTCTGCAGAAATCCTACACACTTATGGGAAAGTAAGCTTTGCAATCCCCAAAGAAAAATATTTCCGCTTGGAAATTCCTTTCAAATCCATCAATGAGCATCATATTTACAATATCACAAGCAGCTTCAACTGATTCTAGGGATAGACAATATTATTATCTCCACAAACTATTAAATATATACAAACTGACTGTTTTAAGACATTTAGATTCTCTATGATTTCATTCTAGTATTGTTTTTGTTCTTAATTACGTTTATATCAGCACAATTATAAAACGTACTCCCATAACTAGAACTACAAAAATAATATTTATAGCTTAACCGTTTAATTTATATCTATGATTTATTAGCTGTTAAAAAGTATGAGTAACTTTACAATGTGACTTGATTGTAAACTTTTATATCGCCATTTTTTCCACTACTCCTAACTATTAACTATAAAGATAATAAAAATGATTTTTTAATCATCCCTATAATTGATTAATGTTCTGACTTATCTCTTTAGATCTAAGTCGTACGTTTTATAATTGTACAAACCTACTTTTCTTTATAATCTCATTTTAAAGAAACATTCAGTCAAAGAGTTAGCAGATCGTTATAAACTCCAAAGATTCTAGTTCCTATCTCTCTCTATCTCTATTTCTCTATCTCTAATCTAGTACTTTAAAGTCCCTGATCTGATTAAAGGGTATTTGGGTGGCAAGGAGACCCAATCGATCGTTATGATCGCTTGGGCTGTCTGTTGGAAAGGGAGGGGAATAGCCCGATCGGAATGATGCGGTTTTTAGGCGCGAACGGGTTCGCAAATGCTCAGAAATCAAAATGCAGCGACAGTCTCTCAAACTCTCTGGCTTTGGCTTCTCCCTCTCGGTGCCTCCAACTCTATCTATATCTCCGAATTTCTTGGTACCCCCACATTGCAGACGTAGTTAAGTTCCATTCGCAAACGCTCCACTCCACCGATGCACTTGCCCGAGTGCCTTGGGCCAGATTCCATGTAAGATGTCCGTGTGCGCCCTCACCCAGACGCAGCCGCAGAATCCCAAGAATTCCAAGAATCAGAAACAAAAGAACGGGACAACGAGATTACCGACGCTGACAACCGCAAACGGCACCGGAAACGGAAACGAAAGTGGTATAACCCTAAACGGCAAGGCCAAGGGCTCCGTAACGCCACCCACTCCGCCGCCTTCTCCGCAGGTTCGGATCTACGAGGACTTTGACAGGATGAGTGCCAAAGAGGTGTACTACAATGAGGCGGGCAAGAAGGTGACCGTGAAGCTGCTGCACTTTCCCGACGTCCCGCCCGAGGAGATATCCAAACTGAAGTTCGAAGATGACGATGATGATGATGATGGTGGGAATGATGGGGCTGAAGATGGTGGCGAAGAGGATAGGGGTGATGAGGCCGATGAGGATAGCGATACGGGACGCAGACCCACCTCTGCGGACAGTGAAACGGACACGCAGAGGGGTCAAGTGGAGACAGTGGCCTCCAGCTCCTCCAGCTCCTCCAAGAAGATCCTGCGCCGCAAACTATCCGGCAACAATATGCAGACCCGGAAATGCAGCTTGGCCTTTGCCCAGGCCCATGGAATCCGGCAGCGGGCCGAGAAGAAACTCTCAATGCCAACGATTAGCATTACGGCCAATTCGGGTGACCATGTGGCCCACAATTGTGGCCTTCGTCTGGGTCTGGGCAGAAAGCTATCGCAGCAGCACTCGCTGCCCCTAAGCACCTCACCCACCTCACCGTCGCCGACGCACATGGGACCCCGACGATCCCATTCGCCATTGGGCCAGAGTCTGTGCCCCGGCTACATCCAGTACTCCAAGTCGCTGCTGGAGGTGCCCATGCCCAGAGATTACGGGTACGCCAGTAGCGATGATCTCAGCTCCGAATGGGACTCGGATGTGTCCACCTCGGCGGCCGGCTCGGCCGGATCGGGATCGGGTTCCTCATCGCAGGCCACCGCTGGCAAGAAGGTAGGATGGGTACTCCTTAAAGTGGTGTTACCGCCAAGGGACTTAGTCTTAAGTTCTACACTCAAAGTAACTCTCTAGCAAGTCTAAATAAATATACCTTAATTTACAGACTGAATAAGGAATTTGAAAAGAACCTATAGAATATCTAAGTAGCTACTATAAATCCGTTTTCAGTTTTAAGATTATTTAGGTATATTATTTAGGTGTATTTAAAATAAATATGCGTTATCAATATATGAAGTCAATATTTAAAAGGACTTACAAACGGCCACTAAAAAAATATCAAATACCTTTTATAGATCTCTTATTCTTAAAAATAATATCTTTACTACTATATATCATACAATTTTATTGTACTATTATTAATATAGAGATAACAAACTAAAAGTTTCCAGCCCAGTAATCAATCTTAAGATATTTCTATTACTGCAGCCAAATTGTTAGACCAAGAAAAAATATTTCCCACATGAGTTTTTTACTGATCAACTTAAACCTGTGTTAAACATGTAGTATAAGTAATGAAAACTCAGCAAAAAAAAATCAGGGCATGAAATGGGTCTTTATTCAGTTGTTAGCTGTCTCAAGCAATTTGTTTCTCTGTTTAAACTTAAATAAACAAAACAAAATAATTTTAAAATGAATGAACAAACTGAAGCTACATTTTAGTACCCCGAAAATTTGACCTACATTCGTACATGTGTTGTAAAAAATGTATTTTACTTATATTAACCCTTTCATTTTTGTAGAGAAACTAGTTCAAATAAGATTACTGAACAAAAGTAAAAGGCACAGTAGGCGTGAATATTTCAGTAATTACGTAAAATAATTATATTCTGACATTTTAAAAATACGTGTGCATATAGAAAGATAAACCATTTGTTATATAAGACCTATAAGATACAAATTTATATATTTTTAAATCACAAATTAACTATGTTCCAGCATTCCGAGGAACATTCAATATGTGTACAAAAAAGTCAATCCAATGGAATCCTTTGATTAATTGATTTACCCCTCACCTTTGCAGAGCTCCGGCTGGCGTAAGATCCGCAACATCGTCCAGTGGACGCCCTTCTTCCAGACGTACAAGAAGCAGCGATATCCATGGGTCCAGCTGGCCGGACATCAGGGCAACTTCAAGGCGGGTCCCGAACCGGGCACCGTGCTCAAGAAGTTATGCCCCAAGGAAGAGGAGTGCTTCCAGATCCTCATGCAGGATCTGCTGAGGCCCTATGTGCCTGTTTACAAGGGCCAGGTGACCAGCGAGGATGGCGAACGTGAGTCTGGGATTATAATTCCCTCTGTTTTTCATTACTACAAAGTATTGCCTTAGTTTTATTTCTTAAACTTTATTATGGTTATACTTATAATATATAACGACAATAGTTTCAACTATTTTTTTAATGTTTATATTTTTAAAGATGTATGTTCTCTACCCTTATCCACCTAATCCTGGTATTTGTCCAGTCTATTTGCAGCTCCAGGATCTTCTCAGTGACTACGTACAGCCGTGCGTGATGGACTGTAAAGTGGGCGTTCGCACCTATTTGGAGGAGGAGCTGTCCAAGGCCAAGGAGAAGCCCAAGTTGCGCAAGGATATGTACGACAAGATGATACAGATCGACAGCCACGCCCCCACCGCCGAGGAGCACGCGGCGAAGGCGGTGACCAAGCCACGATATATGGTCTGGCGGGAGACCATCTCCAGCACAGCCACACTGGGATTCCGCATCGAGGTGGGTTCTATTTTTATTCGAATTTTGAATTTTTGGGAAGAGAAAAGTATAAATGAAAAAAAAAACTGCGGCCATAGATGGCTACTTCATGAAAAGGTTTGCATTTGGAATGCACATTCAATATGTCAAGGAAAAAAGTTCGATATGATATATTGACGATCAATATTATATCGAAAAATATCGGAAATTTACAAAATCTTTTTATTTCTTCAAGTCGAAGCCAATACTAGACCTCGAGCTAACGTTAACCACTTTATATTCGCCATTAGGGCGAAATATCACTATTATCGATATTTTTCATTTTTGTTCCGATCATATTTCAAACATGTTTAAAACTATATTTTTGATAACCTCTTTATTTCTATTACCGAAAATGTTCGCTGATAAGCTTAAGTTCTTTTTGGTACACTACCGAAGGCAGCTTCGAAAACAGAAGTTGGTCTATCTATATAGCTACACTAAAAATCAAAAGCAGACCTTTGTTTTTAAGTTAAAAATGAAAAACCAAACATAACATTTAATAATCGCCTTTTGCAGGGCATCAAGAAGAGCGATGGCACCAGTTCCAAAGATTTCAAGACGACGAAGTCACGCGAACAAATCAAGTTGGCCTTTGTCGAGTTCCTCAGCGGCCATCCCCACATTCTGGTGAGTGCTAAAAGATATAAAAATAACGAAACATGAGAATTTTAATGTTTCTTTTTTATACAGCCCCGATACATCCAGCGTTTGCGTGCGATAAGGGCCACTCTGGCGGTATCGGAGTTCTTCCAGACCCACGAGGTCATCGGCAGCTCCCTGCTCTTCGTCCACGATCAGACCCACGCCAGTATTTGGCTGATCGACTTCGCCAAGACGGTGGAGTTGCCGCCGCAACTGCGGATCGATCACTACTCAGCCTGGAAGGTGGGCAACCACGAGGATGGTTATCTCATCGGGATCAACAATCTCATCGATATCTTTGTGGAGCTGCAGGCCTCTTTGAATGCGGAAGCATCTGTTCCATCGCCAGTCTCTGGCGGGGATTATGAAAAAGAAGAGCCAGGAGAATGCAAACCCTGAAGGGAATTCTTTTTTTTTTTACGGGGGTTTGGGGCTGGGCCCCAAAGCAATGACATTTCCACTTCCCGAATCGATTAATCCCCAATTCCTAGGATAAGTTACCTAGTTTTTTTTTTTGTTTTTTTTTTACAACAATTTGCTTTCATTTAACCCCTTAAGTTTAAAATCAAAGACTGAAACCACAATAAGCATATATAGTACATACACATACATACTTTTACTATATGATATACGCCTACTTATATAGGAAATATATAGCCGTATATGTGCTGATACTGTAGTGTAATTTATTTATCCAAAAAATTCACGTTTGGCGAACCCCGAGAGACCCGAATAGTTGGAGAATACCCGCAGGCAGGCAAAACTGTCAATCGTTACGATACGAAAAGTAACTGAGAACACCCAACAGCAACAAGAGCTTAATTTAAGGTTTTAATATAATGGTTATGCGACTACCTACTAAATACTACTAATTGTGCACTATTAAATTCAGTTAAACCAGAAAATGTACTTGTTTTATTCTATCTGCGGGATAAGCTATACTATTGGCTTAAAGGATATAGTCGGACGAATAAATCACAAAGCTGCTATTGGAACGACCGGAAAATAATGAAATTATAGCTTAGTTATTTTGATCATATTGTCTTTTACTTTGGGGAACTAACGATTTTTTTGAAATAAAAATCGGACTAGTATATCATATAGCTGTTATAGCTGTTATCGGAATATTTATATAAAAATCTTCCGATTATACGGGTTCTGTTATATATGTATGATCAGCATGATATTGTTTAGCTGCAAGGTAATAAATATCCACTTCGGTTAGCTTCTTTTTATGTTTTTAGCTAAGAACCTTTTATTAAAGTGTCAAAAAATTTACGGTGCATTTGAATAGGTCTGTTCTGGAAAAATCCCTTCCAAAAGCAAAGGAATTTTTTCTTTTAAACTTAAAATTTAGTGTTACCCTACCAGTATCAACACCTCAACACACCAACGTTTTATAACACACAACGGCTAACCAAAATTATTTATCATAGTATTTTATGAATAATACCATCTAGAGCAACCTATTTCCCGATATATTTTAGGTTTTTGTGTCAAATAAGGACCAGTCGATAATATCGTTCCGAAGGAAAACGGGGCAGCCCCAAGTTTCCAGTCATTCTTATTGAAAAAGCCGTGCTGGAAGGAACAACTTAACTTGCGTTAATATAATTTAAATATTTACAATAGAGAGAAAAAATGGCAGCCTCCGCATCGAATGACTCTACCCCGCCTGGGGATGGTGCCGATAATCCGATTCTGTGCGTGATATGCTCCGAACCCTTCCAGAGGATCACGGATTGCCTTGTCCACGAGCTGCTGGAGCATGAGAGCTTGCCGCAGAAGGGGCTGCGCCAACGACTGAACCCCTCGGGCAGCCAACTATCCCAATCCGAGCGTTATGAGTTGCGAGATGCCCTCGATAAGTCGAAGCGCGGGGCCCCATTGCTCGAGGTGTTGCAATTCTTCGCTGCGGATCTGAGCAAAATGGAGTTGTGCTTTGATTATGTGAGTAGCTACATTGAGCAGAGCATGAAGGGATTGGTTGTGGTGACTTCCTTCGGTTCGTTGGCCAGTGACTTGGCTGTGAAGGGTAAGTGGTTACCACTAAGTTGTAAATGGCGCCCAATACGCTTCCCCTTTGCCTTCCCTAGGAAGCGACATCGATTTGTATTTAGAGGCCTGCAGCGTGCAGCAACCCAAGAAGCTGTTCGGCCAGGTTGAACGATTCCTACGGCGCAACAAATCCTTTACGAACGTGTTCCACATTCGTCGTGCCGCTGTGCCCATTATACAGTGCAGGCATCAGCCCACAGGAATCGATATAGACATAAATATTTCCAATCCGTATGGTGTACATAACTCCCAATTTGTACGCGATTTAATGTCCCACGATAAGCGACTTCGTGAGCTCACACTGTTCTTGAAGATCTGGGCCAAAAAGCTCAAGATCATAGGTAAGGGCTATATGTCAAGCTACTGCCTGGTAACATTGATCATCGTTAGTTTGCAAGTACTACGACTGGTGCCATCCATAAAGGAGCTGCAAACGCTTTGTCCACCAGTCTATATGTCGGGCATTAACGTCGCCTACAATCTGAACCAGATGCCAACGATTCCGTCACAGATGACCACCCTGAAACTAATCAGACACTTCTTCGACTACTACATTACGGTGGACTTTGGCAAGAGTGTTTTGAGCGCCTTTTTGGGCAGCTGTCTGGACAAGGGTTTTCGACGCGATAGGGCCATGTGTGTACAGAGTCCCTTCGAATTGCACCGCAACGTGGCCGGGTCAATGGGTCCCTCGAAGCTACATTATTTCAGACAGTGTCTTGTCCTGGCCGCCCAAGGATGCAGCAATCGAGCACTGATTTCGCAACCAGCCAAGCTATATTACTACCTATTGTTTGGCATATCGGATAAGTTAGGATCTGAGAAAACAGAGATGGCCACTCTGCAAAAGGAGCTAAAGGTAGACGTTTCCGGCGACGGGAGGAAGAAAATCAAATTGGAAAAAGCCCTGGCCCTAACCATCGGGCTATCGCACCTGATCACCCCCACCAGAAATGAGCTCAAATGCCTGAGTTCCGGTGTGCTCGGTTGCACAAAACCGGCGGGGGTCCTAACTATATACTACAATTGGTTGAACTGCTATGTGTATGTCATCAGGGATGTGCTGACACAGCTTTTTGCCATGAAAATCGAACTAAAGGAATCAAAGTCGCCGCACTACTTCAAGTGGCTCATCAGCAGCTCCTACGACACTTGGACAGGACGTTCTTATCAGCGGGGCGCTGGCCAATCCTTCTATGCCCACCAGTTGCAACAGACCATCGAGTTCAAAAAGACCAGAATGGAAAATCCAGAATATGCGGTCGATATGCGGGGCTATTTCTCGCTACTGGCCAGTAAGGACTACAAGGAGCTGCGAATGGATGTAGAGCCACTGCCTGGGGATTTTCTCGAACCTCCGCTAACAAAACTTTTTAAGGTCTTTAAGAACATGCTGAACGAATACAGCTTTAAGGAGAAGACCACAGCCTGGAAGTATCGCTCCGAGTCTGAGTAAATCCGACAACATTGCTCTACAAGTGTATTGTATTTTTGTTTAACACTGTTTTTTATTTGAATTGGAAAAATCACTGTTAGTTGAACAAATATATCAAGCACAACTTTAGCAAACTGAAACAGTCATTGATATCAGCGATAATGTGATAGAAGTACTTAAATCAATTTTAAAATATTCTTGGCGCTATTAATAAAAACAATATAAAAAACGCGTTGGTCGAAAGTGTGCTTCGACTTTGACCATTCTAAGTTCTAAAGTAATAATGTCTGTCTGGTTTAAAATTGCGTTTCTACGCAAACTAATCTCTCATTTTTAAAGCTATCGTTATGAAACTTTCCCAAACTTCTTCTTTTTATTAACAGATGGTATATTAGTCGAACCGACAGCTATATCGTATCGGGCAACTGTATCCTCAAGCTCTCATAGGAACAAGCGGTAAAATAATTCCAGCAATTTTGTTGTTGATTATGTTTGCTTCTACTCTGGGGTACAGTTCAATTTTACGATTTCAAAATTTAGATTAAAATGGTTTTTTAATCAGGCGACTATATCATACAGCTGCCACCGCCAAAATTATTCGTTGTTTTTGATCATATTCTCCTCTACTCTGGGGTATAGCAATGTTTATGATTTCAGAATTTCAAATTTTGTATGTAGAACTTGGACGACTATGTCATACAGCTTTAATAATTGGTGTATTTTTATATACATTTTCCGAATATAGGGTTTCTATAAAATATGTATGATTTTAATTGCAAGATAATATTTAAGCAACTTTCTTGTTTTTACTTGGTTACGAGATTATTCGATTTTATATAAAATATAATGTCGATAAACATATAATAGTCAGTAAAATATTAATCATCCGAAAATAATGGATATATCGACTATTTTTGGTATTTTTTGTTTCAATTACTTTTTTGGCTAAAACAAAAATAAGTATCTTTGTTGCTCAACATTACAAAAGTTGCTCAGCAACATGCTATTGTTTTTAGTATTTTTTTGGGAAGCTGACCATGGAAAATTTGAAATGAAAAGAAAACTAGATTAAAATACCAACCGTTTATATAGGATTAATCTTTTTCTTTTTAATTTAATCCAGCATTCTTTTTCCTAAGAAATTGCGATTCCATTCCGAAGAATACTTTAAGAATATATAATCCGTTTTGTAATTTCAAAAATGAAATCACAAAAAAAAGAATTGTTGTTGTGTTGTTCGGCATCGTTTCTGATTAGTGTGACCAATTAGGAAATATTAAAAATATATATTCAAAAAAAGCGATTTTAGGCGAAAAAGAATATTGCGATATAAACATATATTTTTATTCAAAATAATATTGATATATTTATATTTTGATATATTTTTCACATCCCTACATTTGACTAAGGCGTTTCTTTGTGTTATACCCGTAACTCGTAGACGAAAGGGGTATATTGTATTTGTCGGAAAGTATGCAACAGGTAGAGGGAAACTTCTCAGTGACTCGTCTACGAGTTACGGGTATAACACAAAGAAACGCTTTAGTCAAATGTAGGGATGTGAAAAATATATCAAAATATCAATATATCAATATTACGCCCTAATTTGACTAAACTACGACTGAAAAACCACAAAAAAATGAGTATTTTTGGCCAAAATCAGAATTCCAAAAATAACTGGTGTACCCCCTTATAAAAAATGCGAAAATGGGTCAAAAAATAAATGTTCCTTAGAGTGATGGGGATCGATAGCATTTGTGGCAAGCTGCTCAAAACAGTCGGTCTTTTAGCTGTACGCCTGGATTTAGCTGAAATTCCATCAGAGAAATTATGAAAAATTAAGGAATTTAACATCGTTGTCAAATTCCAAAGTCGTGGGCAATGGTTCAAGATAGGGACTACTTTTTAGCAATGCCGTTATGTATTGAGTGTGTGTCAGCGAAAATATTTAAGATAAGCTTAATTATATAGGCCACATAATTCAAAATGTGGGCAAACATCGGTTTTTGTATTCCTAGCTATATCGCGGAACCTGTATTTTGTGCTCGTGTGTTATTACTTAAATTTTTGGTATATTTTTTCATATTTGCAGTCCCGATAGCGATTTTAACTAGTATTAATCGAAAATGGATGGATTTCGAGCGTAGCAGATAACGGTCATATCGTTTCCCCGGACTCCAGTCTTGATTTGACTCAGTCTGAACAAGTCTCTTAAGCACTTCATTTATTTTCCTCACCCATCAAATATTTTTGCTACACAGGAGAGGCCGTTCTCAATTCATTTTCAATTTTTCAATTTCAATTTATATTTTTCTTTTTTGGATCTTCTATGAAATTCTTATTTTTCTAATATTTTTAAATTAGTATAGTTACTCAATTTTTCTCTCGATAGTGACTATTGTTCGCAACAATTTTAAAAGCTGTATGCGAACTGGTCCCCTGAAATACAGTCGCTAAAGTGTAAGGCTCCTACTTCTCTAACCATATGGAATCTTTTACCAGAAATTGGAATCTTCCTTATTGCTGATGACGGAAGACTTCGCCTCCCTCACATCCTTTTAAAGGACAGTCTTGTAGGATGTTCTTTCTTTCAGTTGGGCCATCGCCTGCACTTTTAAAGGTCTTTTGAAGCAACTATTTTGAAATCTTTTATTTGTTTCGAATGATAAGTTTTTTTCAGGAACCCCCATTCTCGGAGTTCCCGGAGCTTCATCAGATCCACTGTTTCTTTCTTTCGCTACTTTTGTTTTTTAATAAATAAATATTTTTACTTTCATGACAAGTCAATATATATATGCTATTGCAGCGATTTCCAGCCAATTTCTTCGCATATGACGGCCACGTAACTTATTTTTCCACATTGGTTCTTTAAGTCGAAAAAGTTGAACTTAAATAAATTACCGTTTAGCTTATACTTCTCTTTAGTGGTTTTTCAGTTAAATATTTTTTTTGTCTAATATTAACTTACAACAATTTGATGTATTTTTGGTGCAGTTCATTAAATGTTTTCATTTCCTAAGTAATCCTGCTGGAAAGTAGCAGTGATCCCGCAGCAATTTTAAAAGCTGCATTCGAACTACTCCACTGAAATGCAGTCGCTGAAGCGTAACCAACTGGAATATTTGTAGAATCTTTTGGAATTTGCAGAACGCAGCAATAGGAATCTGACTCATTGCTGGTGATAGCTGCGTATCGCCGATCCTGCAGCTCAGGAATTGTAGGCAGTCTTTGTGCAGATGCTAAGGCAGTTGATCTAATTCTTTAGGAGATATTTTCTGTCATTTCTATTACAGTGCTTACTATTTTTTAGATAAAGAAATTCAAGATGTGTTTCTAAATTGGAGATATTTATAGCTGCCATAGAAATGATCGGAAAGTTTATGAGAAAATTATACGAAACGAATTGAATGCATGTTCATGACTCTGAGTTTACCCGCCAATAAAAACAAAACCACAAAAGCCATCAAATAAATTTATAACTAATAAAAGTTCAAAGAATTAAAATAAAAAAATAAAAGCTCCTCCCTCACAGCAATCAATGTCACATTCAAAAAAGGTGAACTTAAATAAATGACCGTTCAATTTATACTTTTCTTTTGTGGCTTTTCTATTTAATTATTTTTTGAACAATATTAGTTTAATGCAATTTAAAGTATTTTTGGTGCAGAAAATGAAATGTTTTCATTTCCGAAGTAATTCTGTTGGTTATCAATGATCCCGCAGCAATTTTAAAAGCTGAACTCGAAGTGCTCCCCTGGAAAGCACTCGCCAAAGCGCAGGGAACCCCCTTCTTCTCCAACCAAATGGAAACCTTTTAGAATCTTTGGAATTGCATGACGCACTTGTAATCGCAGATCCTCCGGCATCACTCTCGTGTACAGCAATCAATGGCACATTCCTTTGAAGGGGCGACTTGTATAGTGCAGCTGATTTCAGTTGGACTTTGTCAAAACTATTCTTCATTATTCACTCATTCATTTATGTATTATGTGTAACGTAATCAGTATAATTACTCAATTTTACAGAGGCACGGAGCAAAGAACGTTCTTTTTCTTTGTCCTATGCCTTATCCTTTCTATGACAAATCTCATAGTACCCAAAATCATACATTTTATATTAAGTGACTTTTTACTAGACTAGGGCGATAAAGGAGATTTCGGTAGCGTTTTGATTTCAGTCAGAAGTTTCCACCACATTGAAGGAGACGGTTTCGACTCTATATAGTATATATGTTCTTGATCAGCATAAGAAGACGAGTCGATATAGCCATGTCCGCCTGCCTGTCCGTCTAGTCTATTAGTATTGAAGTTATCGGAATGAAACTTTCCCTAAGTTTTTTTTTCTATTGGAGATGGTATATAAGTATAAGCAAGCTATCATAGAAATTATCCAAAATATTAAAAAAAAACTATTCTTCATTATTCATTCATTCTTGTATGTATTATTTTTGACTATACTATCTTCTACTCTGGGGTAAAGAGCTTCTTTAATATCATAAAGCTGCCATTGGAACAATAAAAATAGATAGCCGTAAAATTTCACAAATCTACCAATTTAAACGATAGTACGTCTCAAATCGTTTTTGGTATATCTTTCCGCATCGATACAGAGACATGGATTTAGAGCGTACCAATTAAACGGGCATACTTTGTCGTCAGACTCCAGTCTAACACAGTCTGGATAGGTCGAGACTCTTAAGCTACTTTAATGATTTTATTTTGGCAAGAGAACGACCTTTCAATTTATATATTTTTTTTTGAGGGTTTTGAATCATATTCTTTTTTTTTGTGTAACGTAATCAGTAATTACTCAATTTTACAGAGGCACGGAACAACGAACGTTCTTTTTCTTTGTCCTTTGCCTTATCCTTTCTATGACCAATCTCTATTTGATGTATTTTTAGCGCAGAAAACTAATTTGGATTGTCGGTTTTCGTCCAATTTCTTCGCATCACAGCAGTCACAATCGCAGCAAAAACTACAACCTTCCATATTTTAAATGAGGAAATATATTCAAAAATGTATTTGTATGTTATAATATTTTTATTTTATTTATTTAC